CAAGTCACTATATTCCTATGGCATTTATTTTGCACAAAAAATATGCGCCCCCCCCAATTGTAGTAAATGCGTGGACCAAAGTAGTTTGTAGCTGCCCTGCTGAATGACATCATGTGCCCCACTGAAACAATTTTTTTGCGCCAAATGATGTTTGGACTTTGTCAAAGTTTGGCCATGTCCGGTATATTTTCCAGCTCAGGGGGTGGGGGAAGAAGCTTGAATGTACAAATTTAGTATCATTAGAATTGTATAAATGTCCTCTATCGATCTATACCTATTAGAAAAGCACCAGTAGTTGTGTAAATATTTTATGGCAGCAAAAGACTTGAAAGATGTTGGAAGGGCCAAGCAAACAAAGGCAAACATTCCGATAATTCTACAAGTTCATGCTACAAAACATGGGGGAAGAAGCTTGGATGCTCAAACAAGCTGGAATCATAATTTAGACGCAATTCAGCATCTACTGATACCATTTTTTAGAGCAACGGTTGTCTGTGGCCAACCGAATTCAATACTCAGCTGTTTTGTCTAGGCTGTCACACTCTCACAAGTGTGATTTTTCTGTCAAGCATGTTGCGTTGATTATTGTCCAGAGCTTTGCAGTGCTCTTCTTCGTTTCTTAAGGCTCAGCCAAAAGTTACAGAGAAAGATAACTATATATTGGATAAAAGTAGCTGTAGGTTACTGGCTGAGAGCCATCTTGCAAATCTATGGAATACATCCTGAAAATTCATGAAATCCATCCACCATTCCAGGAATTCCATCTTCAATTCCTGTAGATTAAACCAGGAAGTGTACTTCTGGAGCCCAGAGCCCAGCCTATATCCTGTACCATCCAAGAGAGTGAAATATGGGGCATTTGGGAGGCACCAATGTGATTTGGGAGTGACCTGGAGGGTGGGGGAGAATGGGAAGGCAGTAAAAAATGCGAAATATGAGAGAGTATGGGGAGTATCATCACCTACCCATGTCTGGACACCTTATAAAGTCAGGATAGGACCATAAAATGTTTTGGAAATGGGAGGAGAATGGGATGGCAGAGAAAAATGCGAAATAGGAGAGAGCATGAGAGGTATCATCACCTACCCATGTCTGGACACCTTAGAAAGTCAGAATAGAACACATTGAGCGCACTCTGATGGGCACATTCTGATGGGCGCACTCTGATGGGTGCACTCTGATGGGTGCACTCTGACATTTGGTGCACATTCCCATTGGGCACTCTCCAAATACATACTGAAAAACAACAAGTGCAGATGCACACTTGTTGCAGGTATATACTGACTTTGCACCCACTCACATTTGGTGCACCTTCACATTGGGCTCATATTTCATTTGGTGCACATTCACATTGGGCACACTCTGA